AATTTTTAAAAATATTAATTAAAAAATAAGCTTTTAGATAGATGTTCCAAAAACAAAAAAAAGGTTTGCAAAAAACTTTTTCATATAATATAGCCCAAGAAAAAATTTATTAACTTACTTGTGCCATGAAGGATCATATCCATTTATAAATTACTTATACCGATTTCTGCACTCTTCTGGATACCCTCTTGATCTTATCATATCTCAAGGTTTTTCTTTTTCTTTTTTAAGTATATATATTTATACACAAAATTATTTTATAGTTTAAATTATATTAAATTATAAAAAATAAATTTTTGAATGAGATACGAGCTCCTTAAGGACCTTAACATTGAGGTTCTCTTCCACCTAAAGTTTCTATTTTACGGTACTTCCAAACTACAAAAACAATAAACTCCATATTCATAACAACGGCCTCTGCTTGTAAAAGGCCCAAAAGGTAATTCGTCATGGGTACGAATCTTAGCCCGCGTAAAAGAAGTAACAAAATTAGATCAGCTTCCCCTAAAACCTGAAAAACCCCAGAAGTATTTTGACGTTTCTTTGAATTTTGATGCAGTGAGAGCATTGAACTCAATCTTCCAACAATGGGAAATACAGGCACCGCCGAATTCCTGGAATATCAGCGGCGAACCATGCACCGGAACTGCTTTGAGCCAATACGATTTCAACAATCAGGCCATCATATGCGATTGCTCCTTCAACGGTGCTACTACCTGTCACATCACCAGACTGTACTCTCTCCGTCTCTTGCTGCTCCGGCGAATGCATTCACTGTTTCGAACTTTTGCTCGGTTGCGGAGTTGCACTCTAACTGTTTGTTCATTTTCACAGGAAAGTGAAATTGCAGAACATACGAGGGGTGATGCGGGAGGAGCTTTTGGCTTTCAAGTTCTTAACCTATCTGTATGGTTTCTCTTTTTCTTTTGCTTGTAGAAAATGACATTTTATCATTTTTCTGGAGTGTTTTTAAGAGTTATAAATTGTTCATTGTTTGATGATGCAGGGAACTCGCGTACAATTACTTCACTGGTCCCTTGCCGGCATGGATTGGGAATTTATCTACATTGCAGCACTTGTAAGCATGGATTCTGTTGGTCTTATGAAAACATTTTATTTTCCTTGAATAAATAGCATTTATCAAAAACTTTTCAAATTTCCATGCCTAGTTTTCTGACTTTTGGTTTCAATCGTTAAATGTCTTTCCGGTCAAGAATACATGTATGGACCTGCTAATTACATCTTGCTTACTCTATAAAAAAGAGGCATTGACCCTTGATTATGAAGCTAAATCATTGAAGTGCTAAAGATCTTCAACACCTTGAAGCGAAGCACTTTGTGTTTACTTCAGTGTCTCGTTTTATATACCAGCATTAAAAACCATCATTTACACTGATTACTAACAGTACATCTCACTTATTTTCTGATTATGGTGGTCATGCTTATTCCGTAGGTAAAACTCATTGACTTTGGCCTGTTATTTTTGCTAATTCTTATTTGAGAAGCCACTAGTAATTTTTTGGGTTATGTTTTTTATGTCAAGGGATATTCATGTCAATGCATTCTCTGGGCCCATTCCTAAGGAGCTTGGAAATCTTAAGGAGCTAACTCATCTGTAAGACTTGAAGAAATTCTACTTTGTCAACATAATGCATCAATTGTTTTTAATTCTTTTTTATCTGCCATTGTAATGCATCAAATGGTTAAGTTACATTATGCACAAGTTTGTTCTTGGTTATTATGAAAGTGCCTTTCTTATAAAATGAAAAATGAATTCAATATTATGTTGATAGGATCTGAAAGTCTGGAGAGAATTTGTTTTTGAGGGGTGATGGTGGAACAGGAAATGGAGACATCCACAACTCTAATATGTAAAATTAATTATTGATATGACAGTGCCTACTAGTTGATGTAACATCCTTTCACAATAAAAACTATACTTCTGAATTCTGATATACATTGAATTGATGAATTCCAGAAGGGATGATAAATAACTTCATGTATTCAAAATGGGTATCAGTTTCAACTATCTTTGATAGAAATGCAAGGGATTGTAGATAATTTGAGTGATTTGGGTCTTTTTATGATTTTAATATAATCTTCCTATAAATAGTTTCTAAGAGGTCCTGAGGTACTCATATTGTTTTATGTCTGATGTAAAGTAGTGATGCAATATGGTAGTCAAGTGACTGGAATAGTTATGGCACTTATTGAGACAGAATCTGTGTGGCTCTTCTGAAAAGCTTGGGACATTTTATGTTGATTAAATTTCACATGAACCCCTCACAACATTCCTACTTTTGAGAGTTGAGAGACCAGCAAATCTCTCGAAAGATTTTTAATCTTCACTTAATTTTGATATTGAGAATTGCATTCCCTGTGACAGGTTTAAATATAACCCCACATCAATTTTAATGGTTTCTTTTTCTCCATAAAAATATTTTATTTGAATTCTTTCCTGCAGGGCTGTTAGTTTTAACAATTTCTCCGGAATGCTCCCACCAGAACTTGGTAATTTAGTCAAACTTGAAAAACTGTGAGTTATAACTTTCTTGTAGTTCTTTGTAGCTCAATAAGTTTGCGCAGTGAGAGTCATATCACCACACACTAAACAGTTTTGGTTTATGAATTTGCAGTTACATTGACAGCTGTGGAGTTGGTGGTGAAATTCCCTCAACATTTGCTAACCTTCTAAACATGCAAATCATGTAAGAAAGTCCCTATGATCATGAGCTGCATTTATTTGTCTGCTTATGTTTCTGGGGAATCTCAAAATTGTCTTCTCTTACCCTGTCATTTAATAGAGAGCTTTTTGGATTTTAGGGTTGCATCAGACAATCCTTTAACTGGGAAGATTCCTGATTTCATTGGCAACTGGACAAACCTTACAATATTGTAAGTTACAAATACTTCTTATTCAATTTTTAAAGACATTCTTTTTTAATTAGTTTTGCCTCTTTTCTTCAACAGTGAGACATATTTAGTTTGTTCTTTCTTGATTAGCCTGCGAAATATTTCTGTAGGGGATTTGAAGGGAACTCCTTTGAAGGTCCCATACCATCCAGTTTTTCTAAATTAATCTCTCTAAATTTTCTGTAAGTAATTATTCACTTACCATTTACTCTCTCTCCCTGTATGCATGATTTTGAAAGTATGTATGATGGCTAACTTCTTCAATTCTTATATATAATAATGCAGGCGAATCAATGGTTTGTCCACTGTGAGCTCTTCCCTTGATTTCATTAGAAATTTAAAGAATTTAACTGACTTGTAAGTAGAAGCTCTTTAATCACATGCAGAAACCTGTATCTTCTTTTGTCTTTGTTGTGTTTGTTTTATTAGTTAATTGACTAACAAACTCTATGCTTTTCCTTTGTTCTTTATTTTCCTGTAGAGTGTTAAGAAATGCATTAATTGCTGGTAGCATTCCGTCTGATATTGGAGAACTCCAATCTTTACAAAAACTGTAAGATATGTGTTCACACTTTGCCTGATGAATATGTTGTGTATGAAATTTGTTCCATTTCCTTTATTAATTTGATTTTTCTTTCTTTACCAGGGATTTGAGTTTCAATAACTTGACAGGCCAAATTCCAAGTGCTTTGTGCAACATAAGTTCTCTTACATTCTTGTAAAGTCTTAGAAGATGCTTCCAAATCTTGATTTATGTCAATTTCATCTTTAGTTTTTCTGGTCAACCTAATGCCATTAACTTGATGGTATTAACCATCAAAAGAAAAAAAAAATTGAATGTATTATATTCTGTCAATGTCCAGGTTTCTTGGAAATAATAGTCTGTCTGGTACCATCCCTAGCCAAAAGAGTGAAAACCTAATGAATATGTAAGCCATACCATTTTGGGCATTCTCTTTATTTGAATCAATAACTTCTGCTAACTTTCTGCTAGTGTACTTTGACTACTTTCTCATGCAGAGATTTATCTTACAATTTTCTGTCTGGAAGCTTTCCCTCATGGGTGATTCCCTCATGGGTGAATACAATTTTACAACTGTATGTAGCTTGCGCTTATTTTTCTTTCAATTGATGTCACATTATTAATGCAATATGAATTAAAGAAAAATGTTCAAGATCTACCCCAACCAGCTCTATATTAAATCCTTGTAAGAGCCAGTGATCTAGTGTTATTCTCATTTTTGTACCTAACTTGCACTGATGACCTCATTTCCAATGCTCAACTAGAAGTCCTCTGGATGTATTTTTCGTTATCAAGAACCACGATAGTAATGTACTACACACCTATGTATATCATTTCTAGAAAGAGTATCTGTCACTTTAAATTCATGAATGTTGGATTGTTACAACTGCTATGACAGATGTTCATTTGTGTTATTGCTTCATATCCTGTAGGAATCTAGTAGCCAACAACTTCACGTTTGACAGTTCAAACATAAGGTGAGTTGTAGTTCTTAAGTATGTTTGGATTTTACTCTTCTATCCACCTTAATCTAAAGGCATAAGAAAATTGGTTGCAATTTTTTCCACAATGGAAGGCATTCTTTTATAATTTGTGACACTAATAAGAAATAATTATTTTATTTATTTTCAGTCATTTACCAGGATTGCAGTGCCTTCAAAGAAGCTTCCTGTGCAACAGGAACCCACCACGTTGTAAGCTTCTTTTGCTGTATTGCCTTGAGATAGCTTATACTTGGCATTACCCTGTAATCACAGGAAGAAACTTCAAGTAGAGGGGAAAAGACATAGACAATTGTATTTTAGAGTGTTCTTAGACTCTCATCAGTGACAAATTATCCACTCCTACTTTCCTAGTATCAATAATTCTCAGCTTGGCCAATTGAAATATGCATGCATCAATGGCAATTGTGAGAAGACATTAAATTTTTCCTGCTAGAACTTGAAAGGAGTCAAAATTTACTTCTTGTTTTTAATCTGTTATAAAATGACAAATTCAGTAACCTACTGGGTATGAATTTCTATTGCTGGAATTATAATTATTGTTCTTGAGTAACTTACCAAGCATATTAAAATATTCATGTTGGCAGATACAAACTTCTCAATCAAGTGTGGTGGGCCAGAGATGATTGTTGATGGGATAAAATATGAGGCTGACAACTCTTTTCTTAGCAATGCATCGTTTTATGTAATCAATACTGAGAAATGGGCAGTTAGCAATGTGGGTTCATTTTCTGAAAGAAGTAAGCCAATCTATATGCAAAGTGCCTTGGAACAAGTGAGAAACACAAAATCGCCAGAGCTTTATCGGACTTCAAGGATATCCCCTCGATCACTCAGATACTATGGCTTAGGCCTAGAGAACGGGCCTTATACGGTTAACTTGTATTTTGCAGAAACAGCTTTCAAAGATCAAAGCAGTCATACTTTGGAGAGTCTGGGAAGGCGAGTTTTTGATATTTATGTTCAGGTAAAATTTCCATAAGAATTGTAAACCATATTCCAGATTGCATTTATGGATCATTTTATTCAAGTCCTCAATGTGACAAATGTTTCTACAATTACAAATTTGCAAACTTAAGTTTTACATTTTCAAATTTTAATCATAATCAAATGTTCCCAGGGAGCCATTGTATTGAAGGATTTTGATATATCAAAAGAGGCAGGTGGGGTTGACCGAGCAATCACTAAAAATTTCAATGCTACTGTGACAGAGAACCATCTTGAAATTCACCTATTCTGGGCTGGTAAGGGAACATGCTGCATACCAGAAACGGGTTACCATGGACCATCCATTTCAGCAATCAATGTGGTACCAAGTAAGAAATGAGATGACATAAGAATCTTTGTTTGAAACCTTGAGTCATGTTTTTACTGTTTGCCACTGCTAATGCCTAAAACCTGTTGATCAGATTTCACACCAACTATAAGTTGGATTCCCCCATGTACAGCAAAAGAGAATAGGACTGGGTTGATTGTTGGTGTTGCAGTTCCTGTGGGAGTTGTCACCTTCACCTTGATATTGATATTTATAGTCTTCTACTTGAGAAGGAGAAAAGATGATGGTGAGGAAGGTAAGAGTCCTAAAAAGTGCAACAGTAGTTAAATAGTATGATATTATTTGTAACACTGATTCATGTTAATATACCATGGTGGATCTGGCCTCATTGCTGCTGAGTGAAGTTCTAGGATCCCCAAACCAAGTTCTAGGTTAAGCTCTTACTGATCTTTAGACATGATTATTTTCTTCTTTATTACAATGGTGAACAGACGTGTTTATAAAGGAAGAGATATTCTAGTAGTACTTTTGGAAGGTTGGCTAAGAGGATTGATCTCCCTTGATGGAGAGAGAGACTGATTTCTTTTTTTCAACTTCATGAGAATGTTGCTGCTCTATCTTGTGGCAATGCATTCACATGGGACTAGTATCGCAAGTGCTCAAAAGAACAAATTTTATATATAGGAAGTAAACTTGAAGTTTATGGGTTGTTGATTTCTGGTTTTGTTCTCCCATATATTATAATATATCTCGAGGCTTGAAGTATAAACTCTGCTCTTATTTTTTTTTTTTACTCATCAATTTTCTGATTAATTATATGAGAAGGATGGAAAAAAAAAAAGAAATAGAAACTATACATTTGCCAATGGCCCATGGCCCATGGCCTTTAAACTTGAGATGATGAATGCTAGGACCAGTGCTTGTAAAATTTAAACATTATATAACTACCTTTTATTTCATCAGTAGATTTTATTCCAACCTCTCTTGAATTTGCAGAGCTTGTTGGAATAGGACCCAAACCAAACACCTTCAGTTATGCTGAGTTGAGAGCTGCAACAGATGACTTCAATCCCTCAAATAAGTTAGGAGAAGGGGGATTTGGTCCAGTATACAAGGTAAGCTATTGGCTTAAAATCTTAATTCTGTTTTTAATGAGATAGAAGATTCATATGACAATGTTACTAAATAAAGCATTTTATATACATTATAGGGTAAACTTTCTGATGGGCGGGTAGTAGCTGTGAAGCAGCTTTCAGTAGCATCTCGCCAAGGGAACAGCCAATTTGTTACTGAGATTGCTCTCATAACTGTGGTGCAACATTGCAACCTTGTTCAACTGTACGGATGTTGCATTGAAGGAAACAGACGCCTCCTTGTTTATGAGTATCTTGAGAACAAAAGCCTTGACCAGGCACTCTTTGGTATGACCGAACAAGTTATTTGCTCCCTTTTAGCCTTTATGCAGGAAAATGAAACATATCTGCATCTGAATTCATTTCTTCACCAAATTAATCACTATCCATAACATTTCCTGCCTCACTCATGCAGGAAATACAGACTTGCATCTTGATTGGCCAACCCGCTTCAGTATCTGCCTGGCAACTGCTAGAGGACTAGCTTATCTTCATGAGGAATCAAGGCTGAGGATCATACACAGAGATGTGAAGGCAAGTAACATTTTGCTTGATTCTGAGCTCTGTCCGAAGATTTCTGACTTTGGATTGGCAAAGCTATATGATGACAAGAAAACTCACATCAGCACCAGGGTTGCAGGAACCATGTAAGCTCCTTGAATCACTATATCAAAAGAATATCTTATTGTTTGCATTATATTGTAGCTTGTATATGTTATTAGGTTTCATAGCATCAAACCATCATGAACTCCAGAAACTTAGTATCATAAATAGAGAAATCATCTCAATAAACCTTCAGCATGCAAATTTAATTGCTTAATTGCAATATTGGCAGTGGCTATTTGGCCCCAGAGTATGCAATGCGTGGCCACCTCACTGAGAAGGCAGATGTCTTTGGCTTTGGTGTTGTTGCTTTGGAAATCCTTAGTGGAAGACCAAACTCTGACAACAGCCAGGACAATGACAAGATCTATCTTCTTGAATGGGTAAAGAAAGAAACTCCTTTCCCTTTTTCCTTCTTTGTGGACCTATTCCTTGGGCCTGACATTTACTTATACAATATTTCTAGGCATGGACTCTGTATGAAAGCAACCAGAGTCTAGGTCTGGTGGATCCAACCCTAGTTGAGTTTGATGAAAATGAAGCTTTAAGAATGATAAGAGTGGGACTCCTGTGCACCCAGGCATCACCAATGATGCGACCACCCATGTCAAGGGTTGTAGCTATGCTTGCTGGGTATATTGAAGTGAGCCCTGTTGCATCAAAACCAAGTTATTTAACTGACTGCGATTTTAAGGACATAACAGCCAGGTTTGAGGCTGAACAGTCAGCATCTACTGGTTCTGAGCACAGTGATAACAAGAACAGGAACAATCTCAATCCAGAGATAGAGGTGGTGGTTTCTCCATTGAATATCACTGAATTCAGTGACCTTACTGGGGAAGGAAGGTGACAGATGTTGTTCCTTAAAAGCTCCATTTTGCTACTTCTCCTGCTTCTACCTCTGCCGCATATTTTCTAGCTCTATGAAGTAGATACTGAAATTGTGTGAATTTCTGTCATTCATATCATTTGTATGTTGATCATTTGTGTGTGTGGAAATTGAACGTGACGTTGAAATATTGGCATGCAATAAGGCTGCAGTGTTTGTAACTTATGGTTGTCATTTCTATCATGTTATAATATACTTCAAAGCTAGAGAATTGTTTGCTATTTTATTTTTTATTATTATTATTTTAGGTTGAATGATGAGTTATAAAACATGAAATAGCTCTTAAACCCCTCTCTACCCAACACTTCCATGTAACATAATTACACCTTCGTCTTGGGGTTGTTCTTTTCCCTCATAAAACATTAATGAGGTAGTTACAACATTACCTAAATTGTAAGTCATGATAAAATATTAAATGTGTATGATACATTTTTAAATAAATGGATATATGTAATATTATAAGTGAATTTTTGAGTGAAATAGGTTAATTATATAATAAAAAATTATATTATAAAATTATAATGGTAAGAAATATTATACTTATATTATTTTGATTAAAATCTCTTTTTGATTCCTCTACTTTAACAAAAAGTTTATTTTTAATTTTTCTACTTAAAAGGCTTATTTTTTATTCTTAAAGTTTAAAATTCAGTTCTTTTTTAGTCTCTACATTCATCTTTTTGTATAAATGTTATATTAAATAATAAAAATTTCAAATTAGAGGGATTAAAAATGGATTTTT